TCAGGCTCCCTACCTCAGGGCATGGGAGTTCATGGAAGGCAGCCTTCCAGCTCCGTTTACAGGGCTTGTGCCAGGGGAATCCTTCCCCAGCCAGAACCAGAACCTTTAAACTACTCCAGACCTTTTACCTTCCATAAAAGGCCTGGAGTGGGGGCTAGTAGCTCACCCTAGACTCCAACATAGTGCTCTGTCCACAAACATGAGGACTGTAATGATGATGACTGAAAATGGACAAATGTAGGGAAAGCAGCATATAAGAGTAGAGTTTTGCCCTGGGTTATGTAATCACATATGAAACAAATTAGTGGCTTCAACCTAGTGTCTGATGACTATTTGTCCACGTCACAATAGAGACAATTCTATAAGCAATAACACAGAGGGATCTCTTTGCTAGAATAGCAGGATTATTTTAAATCAGAAATAAAGTGCAGAGGCAGGAGTTTTGTGGGGAGCATGGCATGGTGCCTGTATTAAATGAAGCTACAGCCCATGCCACCTCCCTCCCCTTCTTGTGAGCAGTCAAGTTCACCCCATTTTAAAAACAAAAATAATAGTAATTCTCATCTGAAATGCTCACGGATTAATAATTTTAATGGATTCAGTTGACTCTGAAAGGCAGTTGCAGATGAACTACATGAGGAATTCATGGTATTAATAATGTATTTCAATTCTTTTTCCTTTCTATGAGACAAGACAAGACAAAGCTTTATGATACAATTACATCTTTTGTTCTCAGAAACCTTGCTTGAATAACTGCCACTAAATGTGTCTTTTCACAGGAATGCTTTTCACCTATAACAATAAAGTATACTGATAAAATATGAATATGAAAAATAAAACTATTTTGTTACAAAAATTGTCAGAAAGTTAAAAAATATGCTGCATGTAGACATTATGAGTAAAATGAGAGATTTAAAATAGATTGTGAAGACATTAGGAGCCATTTGACATTATATATGAAGTTGTATGTATCTATTGAGTAAATAACACAATGGGGATATATTTTAAGCAAACAACTTCATTTCATATTTACCTTTTTATTACATTTTGTATAAGACTATTCTATGCAATAAATTATCATTATTTTTATGGCACCATTTTCATCACAATGTATGGCTTATTATACCATATACAGTGCATTACAAATGTAGAATATCAATCTCTATTTCACTAGCAAAAATGTCAAATTATTCATTAGTACAAAATCACATTATTTTAAGTTCCAGGATGACCTGATTTCAAAAGATACTGAAGTGATGGCTGGAAGAATACTTTCTATTATTTTTAAGCATAAAGAGTCAGACTTTAATTCCCTGTATCTTTTAAAAATTAAATATGTATTTTCAAATGCAAAGTATAGTGCTTCCATAGAGAGAGTTATAGTCTACACAATTCCTGGATGTCAAGGTTTTGCGATATAATTAAATTTTTACAATAATTCCTTGTTTACTTTCTCCTTGCCAGTCAAAAATATTATTGCTATAGTAGATGTGGTTACAAAACCACCAATTTCCCCTTTGAAGGTTTTCAGCTCAGAGAACTGATAGTTTCACAAGTATTCATGAATTTAAAACAGGGTAACATTTTACTATTTTGCATGGAAAAAACAGTCCTTATGTGTTGTCTCACTGAAAATTAGCTGAAGTCGCTAACAAAAAGGTCAAAACACCGACTATTTATTTGAGTATCTGAGAATGTTGAGGCTTGGGGACAAGCTAATGTAATCAACACCATTTTCCAAGACCAAAATAACCCCACTGCTGATTTTGCTCATCTTCTTTTGAAACACAATATACTGTACTTGGAACCATTTCATAAAAATTAAAGCTGGAGAACAACATATTACATCAAGCAATCTATTCTCCTGCCAATGCAGGATTGATTCACAAGAGTACATTTTCTAGAGATTTGTCTTTTCTAGTATTAAATACCTCAAGCAATGGCTACTTGCTTCTTTCCTAGTCAGCTGTTGGTTGAAAGTGACATTTTTAGCAACTTTAGCTATTTGTGCATCTGACAGCAATGAAGGGTCCAGAGGATACACAATCTGCAGACCACCTTGATTATTACAGGGCATGTGCCTTTGGTAGTGGGTGATTGTGAGGTTGGTCACAATGCTTTCCTCTGCCCATCAACACTACCTCCCTTTTGCTGGGTTGAATGTCAGTCAGCAGCTTCCCATACAAGTGCTGCTCTCTCCCAGGCTCCTGGGATATGTAGGAGATGGTGTTCTTTGCAGGAATACAAAGGAAGTGTAGAGCTGAGTGTCTTGCATATATTTGATTTGATGTCATATCACAAACTCCCACAGCATCTTCACATAAAATGTGAAAGTAAATTAACGCTAAACACATAGCTGCTTCTGTTTAAATGCCTCTTAATACCATCCCAATGTGCAGCTTTAAGCATGTTATTAAAACAGAGGACCATTTTGTATAGAGCGTATATGTGATTGTGGAGATGGGAAGAAGGGAGGCACAGCTATTATCTAGTGCCCAAGCTTAATTTCTTTCCCCCGCTGGGCTACTGTATAACATATTCAGAAACAGTGTTACTTTTCCACACATTTACATGCAAGACATTGAACTGCTAATCACAGATTAATTAATGCCCATTGAGCTAGTAAAAAGCAGGGTCTCCAGAGTAATATGGGAGTTAAATCCAACCATTTGAATTTGGCTCTCTCACAGTCCAAGCGATGCTATGCAACCTTTGCACATTTCCATACACAACTCTCTTCCACTGTTATCTTTATATAATGATCATTCAAGTATACTTTCTTTCATCTCTATTATTTCTAGATGCTTGCTCTGACAAGTTTATACCACAGCAATTTGTTTGTGGCAGCCTCCCTACAAAGAATCAATTTTGTGTTAATACATGGCACATTCAGTTTCCCTATGGAAAGTAGAGAAATACACACACACACTTTTTTTTTTACCTAGATTGAAGGACTGAATACCAGATGTGGAAACTAA